AATCGTTTCTCCACACTATTTATTAAAGGTAATATAAATGACCAGAAGTTGGCCATATGTGGGGACAGCTGCAACTATTAGGTGCAGACTTTATACAGTCAAATCATCAGCACATTTTAGGTCTCTAAGTGAACGTACTAAAAGCGAAGTTGCTGATGGGCCAGTTAGTAAAACACCGAACCCCAGAGCTGTTTGTGTGACTTACACAGGTGCCAACTGTAGGAGTAATGAACAGCTCCCCGACGCGAGAGGAGGTCGCTCTGCTCACTGCAGAAATCAGAGCTGAATCTTAATGTGATCGAGGCAGAACATAATATACAGAGCTATCTTTATGTTTGTGAGTCAGACTTTCTAATTAGTGTGATTAAAACCATGGACAAAAGATCCAGTGCATACCGTAAGTAAGTATCACATGTAAAACATGTACGAAACAATGATTCAAATGACCAGTTTGTTTTTGACTGTTCTAAAACAATACATATGTAAATAATAATGTAAATATCAACACAACAGTGGTTTTTGTAAATAGATTTTGATATGAGTTACTGTATATGAACACATATGTTGAGTTTTAGTTCACACACTGCTACATTGCAAATCAGAGAGAAATTAATTGGGATTTATTGGAAATTCAAATGAATACGTTTTTTTTGTTGATGCAATGAATTGTTAATTTAAACCTTAAATTAGATGAATTGATGTGTCAATTTATCTTATTACAATGTGTGAACATGCAAATTTCTCAATTCGAGATTTTTTTTGTGAGGAATGTGTCATAAGCTTGGGCGGCTGCAAAATATTCAAAACAAACACATTATGATTCTGACCATTTTAAGGCCCATTAACTGCATGATATTATTCAAATGCTCCGTTCCTCCGGTCGTAACCACTAGTCCTGGATTAGTGACAAGCAAGAGCAGGGAATTGTACCACTCTTCTTCAGACCCTTGACTCCATTTCAGTCAATGCTAGAAAACCATGAAACTCCACTGCGAGAGAGAAAACCAAGCGCACACTGTTGCAAGCATCGGAGTCTTGGTTTCACACCTGATCAGATATCGGCCCCAAGATCTGCAGAAAGGTGCTGTTGTGCGCCTCACCTTGGCAGCTGGGCTTCGCTCGGTCCCACTCAGGTCTCTTGCTGTTGCCCATCACACATGTCAGAGTGGAGTAGCCCTGCAGCTGGTAGCCTGCCTCACAGTGGAACGTCACCATAGATCCCAGCTTGTAGTCAGTGCCCATTCGAGTGCCATTCATCACATTTCCCGGATCAAAACAGGCTTCCCGCAGTTTGGCTGTCAATCAGAGAGCGACAAAAGAGATCAGAAGTCTGGCAACGGTCCAAGATTAGAGGACTTTCCTAATTAGTCTAAATGCTGTATGGAGTTCTGCATATGAATTGTGTAGCACTGTGATCTAAGAAATATCTACTGTACTATAGAGCTATAATAGGATTAAATTCTTATTTAATCAAGATGACAAAGAAAGCAGCATGAATTATGAAATTACGTGTTGGGCTTTGCATGTCATTCAATTCAATTCCCATAAGGGTCTGTTTGTGTCCTCAGAATCCTGACATGGAATAAACTGTAGTCCACCAGCGTTTACCAGGGACTGTGGTTGAGGAAATATGTCTCAAACATTTTGAGGATCAGGTGAATATTTATATATATATTTTTTTAAGTTTACATGTGATTTGACCTTAATTTAGATTACTTTAAAAATCAATGTGCATTTCAGTGGGGGTAGATAACATTTGAATGAATTTAGCAGAAGAGTAAAAAAAAAAAAATCTGACTTTATTCAAAACATTATTCAAGAGGGAAATCTCTTGAATAAAGTCTTTGCAGTAGAGAGTGATGCGCTGAGTAAGCATATGGTCGTGTGTGTGAAGGTGTGTTGTGTTGTGTTGAATGAGCAAGAGGGGTTGGTAGCCAAATTTCAAACTTTGTATTTTGTTTCATATTCTGTTTGTTTTTTGTTCAAGGTTTGAAATATGAATGTGTGAAGGTATACTGTATATCTCTGAAAGTACCTTTGTATTCTAAGTGGAAGCCGGTGTAGCTCACAGATCCATCACTACGAAAGGCCAGGTACATGAAGTTAGAAGTACTCTCGATCTTCTCTGGAAGTTTGCTGTCTTGAAAGCTGCCAATCAGGTGTGTTGTGCTGTCTGAGCCATCGTAGATATACAAGAAGTCGTAGTTGGGCTCAATACTGAAACTGTAACAATAAACAGTTGAAAGAACCATTAATTTCACAAGCACAGATTCTATGGGAATTCAAAATGTGGGTGACGCCAATGTGCTAGAAGTGAATCTTCCCGGGAGGTTTGTTTTGCGTTTTCAGATAAGATACAAAAGATATCTCTCCCATGAGGTGAGTGAGATTAAATTGTTGTGACATTACGGTGGCACAAAATCTTCCCAGACGGCGAAGGCGATGCAGTGTGAAAAGATCGCTTCATAATGTTGCGCTGTATATCAAATCACATGGAGCGGCGAGAGAGGAGGGACGGATTTGTTTCTAAATAATGAGTTAGCTTTATGACAAGAAAGTAACTATCTTGGAAATAATTGTGTTTGAGTTGGATGGAGGGAGCCTCAATTTTAAATCATAATACCATCCTTTCATTTGGCGCTCCCGTGAGGAAGAGCAGATTAGTGCTGACAGATGAGTGTTGAGAAGGACAACTTCAAAAAGGAAACTTTGCAGCGAACTTCACACACCAATAGAATAATATATGCCATAGTGATTATACTGTATAGAGACCATTTGCCATGAGCCTAAATGTTATGGCTTTTAAAACTACAATCTCTCCAAAGTGGTAATACTAGCCATGTTTGTTTTATGAGAACTGTACACAGCTTGTGCTTTCCCTATCTCCCTGTGCACCTGGTCTAAACCCCAGGCCCATTGCCTTACACACATGGCCGCAGCTGAGGCTGGTTGCACCACAGAAAACAGGCCATTCCAGTTGAAAACAGGATCCTCGGAGCAGCAACTGAGAAAACCTCTGTTCTGTTTCTGAATACACCAAGATTTAGCTGTGTCAAGTACAACAATGATTCTATACGTGATATATGTTCATGGCTACAGTCATCATGTGGATTGTCTAAAACGTATAAGGTTAACGTTTCTTATTTTCTCCGGATGGCCAAAGAATACATACATTGAAAATAAGGTATATTCAGTTAAGAAATCTACTTAAAACATAAACAGATTGATGTTTAGTACCAGAAATAACTGCTTGCATAAACAATAACTGGTCTAGTAAAGTCAAATGCAATGTCAAAGTACCTTATGAAAGCCAAGGAGATAACATAGTCCGAATGTACTGAAATCAGCCAATCACAGTCCTTGCTGTGAGGATAGGGGTGAGGATAGTTTGGTGAGAGAATGAATCCTGAAGATCCCGTCACATTCCCACCACAAGGAGCTTCAAAACACACAAAAATGGAGCAGAAGTTGAAAAGGTTTCTCTATAATATTTTTTTGTCACTTCACTTTTCAAAGGCCACTGCACATTTCCCAGTCATTAAAAATAATTGAGTTGGATTGTATAACCTTTTGTCACCCTACATCAGTCGAGACAAGCACATTTATTTTTACAGAGTAGAGCAGTCAATGTTTGACTCACTTGATTTTCTCTCACATGTGGTTAAAATAAAAGCACTCGACGAGAAGATATAAATCATCAAATGGTTGGTGATGTCAACAATTGCTTAAGCAGCTTAAGACCAGCTCAGCTTTTCTTACCTACTGTACTTTACTTTGTGTTCTGAAGCTCGTGTTATATCATTTATCTAAATTCAATCTATAGCCCCTATCACATCTACACGGCCCCTCTGTCACTTACCAATGCAGCTGGGAGGGCTGGGCTGCCAGTAGTATCTATTTTCCACTTGAATGCAGGTGATTCGGCTTTCTCCCTGCAATTCATATCCTGGATCACAGGAGAAGGTCACTGAGTCGCCGGGCTCCCGTCCTTCTCCGTTCCGGGTGCCATTCATGGGGATACCTGGATCCCTGCAGGCCGTGGCGAGGGAGCCTGCAGACAAACAGGGATTGATTAAACACATTCATGGCTTGCAATTTCCAGACATAAAAACACATATGTTTAGTGCCAAGGCAATGAATTATAATTTAGAATAGGAAGCCTTTTTTCAGGAGAGAATAAAGAAAACAATGCATACACAATGAGTGTATTTCTTTTATTGATTTTATTGTTAACCCTTAAGATGCCAAAGTAGCAGAAATACAACATAAGCTCCTGAATCTAGTACACATTCTACACAGCCACCTGGCTGTGTAGAATTTCTGTTATTGATTTTAGTAGTCCTCTATCTCTTACACATTTTCAGGGCTCCACCTGTTGTCTGTTTCACACCAAGACTGTATATAGATGGCTCCCGAGCTCAATGAGGTCCAAAGCTCATGGACAAGATTTTGCTCCAAATCACTCTGGCTCCTATTGGCATTAAAAAGTAAACTCCTCCAGCTCAGTTACTCAGTAAGTGAAAATAGCATCGGTCACTCAAAGCCTGTTTATCTCCTGTTTGCTTGTGTCAGTGGAGAGTATAAGCTAAGTTTTGATATTTGAAATGTCCAAAATTGCGAGATTAGCGGCGATATACAAACAAATATTTACTTGCCACATGTTTAATAAAAAGCATTAAACTATCATGAACTAGGTCTGAACCAAAGAGGCTTTTTTTTTTAAATCTACATGTCTTAAAATGTATTAAAACAATCCATATTATTATATCACATTTAAAATTATGCAACTATATAAGATACAGTATTTTTTATCACACACAAAACACATTTATTGAGTTTACATAAAGAAAATGCATGTACTCGGTTTCTTTAGCCAAAGGCAAGCTACAAACTTCTGTTGACCTTAAACATGCTGAGGTTCATTTATCTGTTTTTAACAAAGCAACAGCTCAGCAAATAAAGCTCCTGAAATATGCATGAGGTAAAGACAATATACTTACTGGAGAAATCTATGGCAAAGGCCGACTTGGTGATGTAGAAGTCGGTCTCAAACTGGATGGTGACCACGTTGAGGGTGGAGTGAATGCCTTCGGGCAGCAGCGAGCCGCTCACCTCCTTCAGCAGCATCTCGTTCTCTGGAGGTCCGTCCCACACCTTCAGGATGTCATGGGACGCTTCTGTGTCAAAGGCCAGAAACTGCAGACTGAAAGAAGAAAGACACAGTGCATACAGAACAAAAGCTGATATTAGATGAAAAAAGGTAGTGACACTATTACTAGCTGCTATTGATATATGAGCAGAAACAGAAAATGGTCTTGTCAAATCAATCAAACTATTGACTAATAATGACCCAATTTTTGTTTTATAATTCATTGGATTCATACATAATTGATGACATAAGGACCTCTTGTATAAACCATTAGAGATTTATTTCACAGTCATTATGAGCTGAGAGGAACAAAGAAGTAGAAATATTCAGAACTATTATGACATCATTTTAAAAATCTGCAAAAGGGATCGATCTCTGGAATGCATGCAGATAAGTTAAATCAACTTTAATTCCCTCTTCCACCTCAAAATGAAATGTAAAACTATTATATTGGATGAATACATGAATACTCTGAATCTCAAAATGTTCATGAAGTTGCTTCAATAATTTTGTTCTGATGTAAATACATTCACTTATTACTACTGACATTAATGAGTAGACAAAATAAGCTTTAGCTTCAGCCTCCACCTTTCCAGTCCTTCTGTTATGTTGTTCTTTGATTATGTAAATGTGCATGTGACCAAAATAAAGTTCTTCCAATCAAATGAATGTGGAAAATATCTTCTATGTTGCAAAAGACTGTCATTTTGATATGCTGATGATTCAAATAATTGATGGTTTTAGCTCAGTCCCATGGCAGTGTACCTTTCTAAGATCAAACTATGCTTTCTCTAATCTCTGGGCCAAATGGGACAAATCTCCTTGTAGATCTGCGTCCCAGAAACAATACTCTGTAGCTTAAGTCCCTCAATCATTTGTCACTAATGTCTCAACCACTGTGTGCACTGTGTGTGTGTGTGTGCGTGTGCATGAACATGTGTGTGTGCGTATGTGAGTGTCATGATTATTATTAATACTCACTTCACTTTATATATGGTGTTCAGATTATTTACTACTAATGTGTAATTTACAGTTTCCATAATTGATTGTCAAGAATGAAAGAAAACAGGTACTAAAGTTTCAATTAATGTGTCACTTAGTAATTACTGTATTTACTACTCTCATTATTTTCAGATGAGACATTTCATTACCTGACGATGTTTCCAGATGCAACCTCTATTGTCCAGGTGCACCGGAGGTTGTTGTCATATGGAAATGGATACCCAGGAGAGAGGATCCTTCCTGTTGACTCACCCTTGAAGCTCCCCCCACACTCGGCTGCAAACAAACATAATTAAAGGAAACTGTAACAAGAGAAGAATGGGCATAGATGATCAGCCTCACTTTTTTATATTTATAGCTGTTATTTATGGATCACATTTGACAATTAATGTATATGTTTTAAATAAAGAAACCGGTAATGGGGTTAACAAGAACATTCTTCTACATCGATAATGGCTTGTCATGTTGAAACTGATACATTAAATTTGACAGTGAGTAAAAATACATGTTATGAACTGTGGAAGAAATAATGCATTCTCTTCAATAATACCATTCCCATAGAAGTCTCAAAATAGCCAAGAACTTTCATTTATAAACACCCTGTTCAGATTACCTATGCATGATGGCAGGCTGTTGTCCCAGGCCCGCCGCTCCCCTGTCATGCACTTCAGTATTCCGCTGCCGTGCAGCGTGTAGCCCCGATCACAGCCGAATGTGATGGCACTTCCAGCAAAGTGCCCCTGATCACTGACTTTGAAACCAAACTGTGGCACACCAGGGTCATCGCAGTGAGACAGCTCAAAACCTACACAAACACAGTCAAAGAAGAATGTTTCCAGACTTGGCAATAAAACAGCTTAAAGGCAGATTATATTTAGCAATGTGGTAGTAGTTTAGATTTTATTTGACAGAACAAGGCCAAGAGCGAGTCCGTTTATCGTTGCATTTCTGTAAAACATACAATTTCTGCTGACATAATTAAATGGTCAACTGCATGTAGACATTTACCATAATTGAAAAACAGGCCCACTGTTTGCAACACTTTGAGATAAAAGAAAAGAAATAAAAGAAATGTCACAATATCTCATCTGCTCAGAATGCTCCAGTCTGACCATGGCCTTTATGGCAGCGCCCTGTAGAAGTGCTCTGCTATGCATGCAGCAACAGTGTCCGCACATAAAAGCAGCGCACAGATTTATGGGCTCCCCTCACCGCACCGGCCATGCCCATGCCAGATGTTATGGTAGTATTACAAGTGTCATGCCCGGTATAAATCTCCTGCAGTTACTGCTCACATTTAGAAAATTACCCCAGCACTTTTGGTCCAAGAGCCCTGAAAACATGAAGCCATTTTATGTTCACACAGGACTTTAGCCTAGAGTGCAGTCGAGTGCTGTTTTTTTTTCTCCCTCTGAACTCATTATTGTGTGTCTGGGTGAAAACCCTATGTTAAAGATTTTTTTTTTATCAACATATATATTGCATGTATTTTTATTTAAAATAGAATACTTAAAATAGTTTATATTCCCTTGTGAACTTCATCATATCATTTCAGTTTGTAGTGCGCACTTTTCTTTGTGCACGCTCGACTACTTTGCCATAAACTACTCTTTAGAAATCCACTGAGGGGCAAGACCAGACGCGGGGCAAAGCAGCAGGGAGAAAAATAAAATGTTTTAAATTGGACTGCACAAAGTTATTGCGACAATTTGTGGTCAAAGCAATAAATTATACTGTAAGTGGTTCGAAACAATACATAGTCAGCAAGCCAATTAGGCAGAGAAACAAAAGTCATCTATTACCCACCTTCTCTGAGCCACATCCCCAACTTCCCAAACGAACGCACACAACTGAAACAGAAACTGATTCCACACAATGCCAACTATAATTCACCTGCTTTAACGAGGTACACTAGGGGTGACGTGAGCTCCTATCGCACGTGTACAGCGCAAAGGGAGAGATAGGCGTTGAGAAACTGAGCAAGAGACAAAGATAATTTCTGGTTGAAGTGCAGAGGAAATCCCATGCTGCGCCTAATAGATACTGTGACAGTGAAAGACGCCGCACGGAAGGGCGAGGGTCAATTAAAATGTTCTTTTGAATTCGGTTCTTTGAAAAGTCTGGTTGACGAAGTGCAGACGGACCCACTCATTTGGAAAAGCTTTGGATATCTTCCCCAGTGGAAATGACATGTGACTTACTGTGGTATATGAGCCGGAACCCAGCGGCAGTCACATCCTGGAAGGAGTTGAATTCAAGCCACAGATTGTTGGAGGTGCTGGCAAGAGATAGGCCCTGCATCAATGTGCCTGTGTACGTTCCGAGGAGAGGGGCCGAGCCGTCTTTACCATCGTACAGCTGGATTAGATAGAAAATATAGAAGGACAAAGAATTGAAAAACAGGCAAACTGATCATAAATGAACTATAGAATTCACAGGATGTTCACGTTAAAAAAAAAAAATACAACAAATGTGGGATCAGTTCTCATGGCCATACAGAGAATTGAGGTTAATTTCCTTATTCATCATAGTATTTTTTTACTGGATAACAAAAATAATTGTACTGCTCTTGTTGAAAACATCCCCACGTTTTTTACATATTTACTTTGTATTTTGTAATTTTTGCGTCCCCTACTATCAACAATTTGTTTACCAGCAATGAGTCAGAACAAATGGGAATCAACCAATGGCTTTAATTCATGAATCATTAAAGTCTTAAAGTTACCATGAAAGTATTGCCATGATGTAAATCCACTACGTCTATAGTTCAGAGCAAATACATTTGTCCTCAGTAATATACAAATCCTGCATACTGTCTGTGCCCTGTAATTTTTAATATCAACTTTGTGCGGTTACATAATCTTAAGAAGGTGTTTAATGTAATCTCTGTTCCCACTGACACAAGTCTCATAGCAACTAAGTACAGCAAAGAACTGCTAAGGAAAGTGAACGTAAAAACACGGATAAGCTCCTTGGTGGTTTAGCAGTAGCTTTCGTTGCGATTTAAATTTTTGATGTAGCATGTTGAACTATCGAGAAAAACAGCTTCATAGTTTGGATCTTTGAACTGCCAAACTCAACATTGCATAAGGAAAAGTAGGGCATAGGAATAACTTGCAAAAAGTGAGGATAAAATGGCATTATTTAGGAATTTTAATGGTTCAAAAAGAAGAATTTTCAATGAGACAAGCAGCAATGTCCGAATATAAATGATACATGAAAATGCAAAGTTCTCCCTTGGATTGAGGAATTATTTGCAATTGCACATCAAATAAACTAATATAAAAAAATAAACCAGGTACAATACAATTAAATAGAGTTTTAAGAATTTTCTCGGTTCAATATAAAAACAATTTATTTAAGCATTTATAACCCAATATTTGATTTACATTTTAAGCTTGATCAATGTAAAAGAGTGAGTAGTAGAAACCTTAAGGCCGTCTCCAGGAGCGAGGTGGAAGGACTTGGCTGTGATGTTGATGCCTTTGCCTGTTTGGACCTGGATGCTGTAGACACACTCGTGGTTGTTGTCGTAGTTCATTGGGTAGTTTGGAGACAAAAGGACTCCCTCATTGTTAGACACAGTTGATCCACACTCAGCTGTATGAAAATGTAGAAAACAACAAACTAGTGTAAGCTCTTTTCTCATTTCTTAAGCATGGAAATATTACAGTATTCCAGAGAAGAATATAAAGCAGTTGATCACCTACCCACACATCTTGGCAGCGGCGAGCTCCACGTGCGGCGCCCTCCCCCCAAACACACAATGCTCCTTGCGCCTTGGAGTCGATAACCCGCATTACAGGAGAATGCCAGCGAATCCCCAATTCCAAACTTAGAGCCTGTGTGCCAACCAAAACTCGGAGTCCCAGGGTCTTTACAAGGCTCAAGATCATACTCTGGAAAAAAAATCAAAATAACAGAACGATTAAAGGAGCTATTAAACGCTTAAAGGAAGATTTATTTTCTAATGAGTTCATGAAAATGCATATGACTACATACAAGTGTATTGAAACCTGCAATTTAATTGAAAAATAGAGCTCATTGATTCAGCTTGTGTATGAATGTAGGCCATGCAAAGTGCTGAGTAGACGCTAGATGCTAGTTCTTCTCCACTTGCACAACGAGGGGTGGTGCCATTGCGAACAGAACACCTCCTCTAGCGCGTGCCCAGCAGGTAAACAGAACAGCATGGCAGCCGAAGAAGGATCAACGCACAAAGTTCCTATACCTCCTCTGGCTGTAACTGCATACACAGCAAAACCCAAAAAAAGTGAGGAGGAGAGAAGGGACCTAAAGCGAAAAAATGATCAAAGAAGAAATCAAGCCCGGGTGAATATAGGTATAGCTTACATCGTATCCTCACTAGAGAGACCTGCAGGAGTGGGACCTCCTTGGACTAAATTTGGATGCAAAAACTTTTTTGTACTGTTTTTTGTACTGTATATTTGGATAGCAGTGTGTTGCTTTAGTACAATTTCATCAGTGATTGTTGAACAACTGACAAGAAGTTGTGCAAATGCTAAAGTTTGCATACGTATCAGATCGCAAATAAAACTATGGCTCCGCAGGAGGAGAGCAGAGGGGAGAGTAGGAGGGTTTCTCAAAATGAAAAGCCTGTGAGGTAGTTGGTGCTAAACATTGAGTCTTAAAGAATCGGGTATAGCTCCTTTAAGACATGCTAACGGTACTTTCAAAAACAGCTAGTTATTCTGCTTGATAATCTGAAAAACAGTATGAATACAAGGAAGCGTTTAAACCCAAGAACAAGTGACAATGTGTGTGCTTTTTCCTACCAGTGCTTTAATACAACGTGACTGTAGAGATTCTAAAGCATTGAGCAGAAGCCACTTTAAGCAGTGTTTCTAAACATGGAATGAAGGCATTTCCCCCTAAGCTCAATGCACATCTTGACACACGCTCCGGGAGGCCAATGTAGCTGTCAGCTCAGCACAACTGGCACATTTCCAAAGGTCATGCGAGGTTCAACAGTGAATCCACGTTAGGAATCCATAAACGCTAATTAAACATAATAGAAAATCACAAACGTACACCCACAAATTACATTCAATGAATATTCATGGGCCGTGAGTTATGCATGACTTCAGACAACAGCAGGCAAACATTTAGCCAGGACGCTCCTCCGTGACCCTCCCTCATCTCGTCTCTCTCTTTCTCTCATATTTCACGATTTCTCCGCCCTCTCCATCAGCCGTGTTCGCTCAGCACCTCCATCTGTCGCGCAGTATTCCTCCTTACCCTTGGTTTCCTACCTCTTGGTCTCTGCATGGGGTTCATTATAGTCTTATATTCCCCATGTCTCAGGCTCCATCTCCTCCGTCTGCAGCGTGCTTTGATGACCATTCCAATCACGGTGAGACGTCCGCTACCGCCGTGACCCGCTTGTCTCTTAATTATCCACTCCTGATCGCCACCGCCCGAGGCACGGTCCGCCTAAAGCCAGCTCCCATTGAGGCAGACAAATCACTCCTCACATTGCTTCATGCCTGCTTTAGAGGGGCTTAGCACTTTTGATCTTATCATCGAACAAACTGTCAATCTCATGTGTCTAGTACAGAGCAACCCGCCTCACCTATTCCGAACCCCTGCCGCTTCTAGTGCCTTCTTAACATTGTACATTCTCATATATATATTATGGAAAGAAGTCTTTCAAATTCATTTTTTTAATAGCACATGCTGAATTTTCTACCTGAAAAAGAGATGTTGAATCCCTGCAGAGAGATTGAAAAGTCCGAGATGAAGCGTAGCTGGGCCTTGAAGTTGCCGTACAGGCCGGCATTAACTGTGGCAGGTCTTTCGGAGCCAGTGAGCCGGGCCAGTGGCTGAGCAAAGCTGCCATTTTCAGTGATTAGAAGGTAGTCGTGGTGGTCCTCCAGGTGAAATGAGTGGAAAGTGAACTGGACACCTTGAGGGGAAAGAGAAAAAAGAAAAAAATAAGTACATTAATGATTTCTACTACCATTAAAGCTGTGTTACCTACACCTTTTCCTACAAATATGACAGGTTATTTGTCCCAACAGAGAAAGTATTGGAAAAAGTAATTTGAAATGAGACATTATCTTTCGAGAAAACGTGTTATCTTTTGCGTACATGTAAGGGAGAGGACTGCAGGGAGGACTTGAGGCTTTGGGCTGAGAGCTGATTGGATGAGGGTGGTCCTCTCTTATTCACTTTCTGTCTGAAAAAGCTGATCTTAAGATTCAAAAATACATGCATGTGAAAACTAGTCCAGGAACCACTTACAATATATCATGTTTGTGGTTTGAAAGATAGGTGCCCCAGCTTTAATACAGTACATTTGTCAATAATCAGTGTCAGAGGATCGTTCCTGGTGCATTGGTTTTCTGTATTAATAGGTACAATATAAGTCTGTTAATTTTGTTTTGAATACTTTTTGAATGAAATATATTGAATTAGAATGTATATAGTGGACATGACAATCCATCACATACAACAATTACATTTCAAATAATTGTCGTCTTGTCACACAAATGAAAAAGGAGAAGAAAAAAGAAAAGAAAAACGTATGTTGCCTGCCCCTTTCTTCAAACATGTACAAATACATACAAAAATCGGCACTCCTCCTGAAGAATTTGAACCTGTTGTACCCTTATTACGTTTTTGACACTAACCAATAAAATGCAAGACAGGAGAGGAACAATTATATGTGTAATTTCTTGATCATAATCACCGATAGTTGATAATTACCTTTCCCATGACTGACTTCCACGGTCCATGTGCAGTTAAGGGAGTTCGGATACAATTCTGGGAAGCCTGGTGACAAAATGATGCCTCCGGGTCCTCTGATATCGCCCCCACATGATGCTGCATAAAGAGGAGAATAATGAATGATAACTAGAAGAAGACATATTTCAAATGAACCAATAAATCCTTCGACTTAAGACACTAATGCAATTTGAATGAATAATGCATCTAGACTTGTATCAGGCCCAAATTTATGAGCACCTGTAATTCTGCCAACACAACACTTCTGCGTTTCCGTCATGCAGCCAATAGACATTCAATTATTTAGTTATCATCTACCTGTGCCCTACTTTCTCATCCCCTGATGCTAACATTAAATACATGCCATTATGCACAATTTCAAGTCGTGCATAATGTGACTGGTTGCAAACACGGTATTGTTTGGGTCAGCTCCAAATAAACAGATTTATGCAGAAAGAGCATTTGGAAAACAGGTTATCATTTGTGAAGGAACAAGCTCAGAAGGTTTTGTTGTATTTGCATATTTAACTTTAACACAGTTGCTAAATATTATCTACGGTAAAATAATTATTGCAAAATAATAATCTCATGTCATAATGTCATGACCAAATGGAGGTAATTCTGCCAGGTTGTGTCCATGTTCTGGGTGCCATTACAACTCTATGGGTAAAAATGAAAGTTTTGAAGGAATATTGAAAGAAGAAAATGTCTAAATGTTTAATTTCCAGATCATTATTAGATAGTGATTAGATTCACTAAGACGTCTGGTGCGCAGAGTCAGGACAGCAATCAGAGCTGCCACCCAAGTCTCGTAGCACCAGTCCCCCGCAGATCCTCTTGCAGGTGGTGGGTCCACAGAAAGATGGCTTCTCTGTCATCGACTAGATGGTCTTGGTCTTTCAGCGGAGGGCTTCAGGCAATGTAGGGTTACGTGTCTTGCCCAGGGACACAACGACAGGAGTCATCAGTGGGAGCAGGTGTCATGGGTCGTGGTGGGCTCTATCTCATGACCATTGGGTCCAAAGACCAGTGCTCTACCAACTGAGCTACTGTCGCCCCGGGACTAAACTTGAAACATGAAAATGTGAGACAGGCTTCTACACTGACAATGCTTAAATCCAGATTAAAAAAAAGTTCTGTTTAGCTGTGCACACAACTGAGGGGTTTTAGCTTCACTATTTTTTCATGTACTGTGATTATTTATGACTTGAATGAATTTTTTTGTCAAGCACTTTGAGTTGCCTTGTTCATGCTATTAAATAAACTCAACCTTGCCTTGAACCACCTTTCTAATAGCCACCATTGTGTTTATGTTTTTTGAATATTGCCGCCTCTTCTGGACACCTTTTTGAGAAAATAAATAGCCCATATTTGTATGTACTGACTAAGAAGATGTGGAACTTTATTATATTCTTTGTTGCATGTGGACTGACACAGGAATTAGAGCAAAATTGTACAGCCCTAAACCACAACAATAGTTATCTCGGAGGACTTTACACAACCAATTTGCCAACACAGTTCAGAGAATCAAACGGTTCAAACAATAAAGCAGAAAACAATTTAGTATTGGTCTGAAAGTGGCAGATGACCAATGTACATGAGTGTTGACAAATGTTCATAAAGGTTGTTGAATGATGCGTGTTCTGGATCATCACCAATGTCCTCACAAACCCTCCTGCAGCGGCACGGAAAAACTCAAACCTGGTTACCATAGTCACCATGACATACAGTATTGTACAGCTGTTCTCCACCACAATGTTAAACTATAGGCTATTTGTAAAGTTCTGATGTCAGATGAAGGCAACCTATTAGCTCAATGTTGTTTTCCCAAGTCTTGCATGTGTACATATTTTGAAAATAATAAATGTCAGATGATGTTGTGGATGATAAGTGAGTTGCCTGAGGGCTCTACATCTGCACACACAGTCCCTCTCTACTTCCACCCAAGAGCCCTCCAAATGTTACAACACATGGCCTCAATCTACCCACCAACTGAATTACATCCAATTTTTAATTAATGAGCCGAAATTACATAAAATCATTAAAACTAGATGAGAACACTTGGCAAGGCAATTTCTTAAGAGGCTCCATAGGCATACGGCCAATACATTTGGCATTAGACTGGCAAATATGGTAGTATACTCAAGGATGTTTTCTTTTTCTTTTTTAATTCTCCATTAGGGTCAAAACAGGAAGTAAATAACTCTTACATTTTTTCAATTAGGTGATCTGCCAGCATAGATACAAATATAAGCCTGTCACTGTAAGGGTTCAATGAGGTTAACACTTTTCTTTCTGAGTGCAAAAACATATAGACAAAAAAATATAGTCATAGTACTTTTTAGTTTTTACATACCTAAAGCTGGGGAAAGGTATAATATTGCCAAAAAGTGAGTCTGTTATATCTTGACATGCATATTTCTGCTCTGGTATGGTGCATATATCACTCAATCATTCTATTAAACCCCATTTTTGCACATATTCAGCAGATTCTAATAGGATTTTTTTTTTGTTATATATAGTGTGACCTTAAAACTTCACTAATGTCAGGTGGTGCAACCAGAATACTTAAAAAAATGTATGACTAAATAATAAAATCCTTTAAAAATACCTAGTTAAATGAAAGAAGGATTTATGTCAGGGTGGTACATCCGTAAAAAAAAACAGCTTTGTTATTTGTACATGAAAATCTGAATATTTTATCAGGCTAAAAAATAAAAAATAATCAACCCTGTGGTGGCTGAGATTTTTTTTTTTTTTTAAACTTGTTCAAAATGGATTAAAAATACTGTTATCCAACGCACACAGGCAGAGGGGTACTTTTTCACATGTGAGATGGTGCAACCAATGTAACGCGTGTGCTGTTGGTTGCACCACCACATATTTCATGCAGAAAAGTTGTAAAAACTTTAAATGAACAGGGGATTGCTTTTTCACTTTGCGCAAAACTCAGAAATATGTATCATCTCATTTGAGGAGTCAGACTGACCGTCGCAGGTTGGCAGTGGGTGGCTCCAGAAGTGGTTCTTCTCACACACCAGCAGGTCCTCGTGGCTCAGCCTGTATCCGGGATCACACTGGAAAGACACGGTCGCTCCGATGGACAAGTCATTGCTGAGCCGAGCACCGTTCACTGGGATGCCAGGATCCATGCAGGAATAGGTATCTAAAGTAACCACTAAACACAGAAACATCACAAAAAACATCTATTAACTGTGTGTGACTTATAGGAATAATTAAAATGGCTTCCTAATTTAGGTTGTTTACTGCTTACAAATGTACAGAAAACAACAACGTTAACAGCTACAGCAGAAGCTAACACAAACCTACAGTTATTGCTATTTAATTGCCCATAAAGCAAAGAAAACGTACTTGAGGGAGAAAAGTTAATAAAACAAAGACACTCGTGGTTTGTTTTCAGTCAATAATGCAAACATAATAAAATATGTTATGAATTATATCTAAGCGCTTATGCGGCAGGGAAACAGCTTCTATACAGTGCATCCACCAGAGAGTATTTTATTCTTAAACAATCACATTGTCAATATTACCAAAAAACACAATACAATAAACTTTTCTGCTTGCACAGAGCTCTCAAAAGTCCACACAGTAAATGGATAAATTTCAACTGTGAAATGTGTATATTATGAGATCAATCCAAGCATTTTATGACAAGAAACCAAGAAACACAAAACATTAAATGACTTTATCTATGTACATCTCAAGCCCCACTCCTGAAAGAATATTGGAAACATCTAATTTCCTTGAATGCATGGTAAATTTCTATTTTCTTTATACACATTAATTAGACTACATCCTTTATTGACATTGGCAAACTTTTAAATTTAAATCAGGTGGCCACAAATGTCTGTATGAAACAGTAACAATAACAAGATGAAGTGGAAATATTCCACTCTCAGGCCGCACACACGCGTCTCACCTTCATAGAAGATCTTGAATCCACTGTTGGATCGACTGTTGTCAGTGGTGAACAGCAGATACAGATAGTTGCTGCTGCTGAACAGAAACTGAGGGACTTGTGTTCCATTGAAGGAGCCGATCAAAGGGGAGAGGAGGTTTGGGCCGTCGTGCACCTCCAAAAAATCATAGCTGAGCTCAGTCTGAAACCTGAAACCGACACAAGATCAAAGACAAAGCATTAAAACTCTATTCTCTCCATTAGTAATTGATAGCACCATGCACCAAGAGCAGTGAAAAGCAGCGAGCCAAGTTCTTTGTTGGCAGCCATTAGGCATAAGTATAATAGGTACAATTTTCAGGTATTTTACATTTTTTTCATTAATAAGAAAAATCATTATAGGACTAAAAATGGCAGTAGTTAACATTTGTGAGCGATTCTTGTTTTCTCTTTTCAACTCATACAATATGTACTGTAGATACGTATATATCGTATATACGTATATATACAATATATATTTTTGAAGAGTGTACACTATAGAAACATAGGGGACTTTGCAGCACGCAGGTATAAGCCGTGTTTGTGTGTGATTGTTTTTTCCCCACACAGTTGTGACAGTGCTGTCAAACCGACCTGTCAAAGCTGATCTTGATGGAGCGTCCCAGCTCAGCCTCGATGACCCACTCACAGCTCAGGGAGTCTTTGTAGTATCCTGGCCACCCAGGGGACAGGATCACTCCGGACGGCCCGGAGTAGTGGCCCCCACAGGGAGCTGGAAACACAGAGTAGATAATAAGATGACGGGTACAATAGGGGTCATAATGTACACTAAAAAAACTTGAGAATTAATAAATGTTCAGCATTTTTCTTGCCCATAAAAATAAATTATAATAATTTCCTGTTATTTAATGTCATACAATATCTTAACTATAAAATATTGCTGAAACAAGTAGGAAGGGTAAATAAAATGTTGCGCCTGTAACTCACAATGCAACCACCAGATGGAGATTTTTTTCAAATGAACAAAAAAGCAGAATGTCAATTCACCTGAGAAATTGCCATTGATTTAGGGTAAATACTTTTAAAGTAAACTTTTTTAAATCTGAAAACTGCCCGGAGCTAGATCTCATAGTGGTACAATTACATCAGACTGACAAATCAGGACTGAAACAGGAGCTTTTAGACAGAAGGGGCGGGGTTAAATGTTTGTAACAGAAGTTCCTGATATTAGTGTCAATGGATATAGAACTACAGGTCTGTTTTTTTATGAGGAGATGTTGTGACATGACTAGAGCTCTGTGCATAATATAATAAGGCAGAAACAGAGAGTGAACCAACTTTTATTCACTTTTTCATGACTGTTCATTAACATAATCATGTCCTCTTTCATCGCATGTATTCTCACCACCGTTTTCGTACCTTCACATTTGGGTATGAGGCCGCTCCACATCACTTTGCCGTCCTCCAGATGGCAGGTGATGGTGTCGGCACCCTGTGTCTTGATGAAGCCCTCATCACACACCACTGAGATGGAGCTGCCCAGCTGGAAACTGTCCCCAAACCGCCGGGCGTTCAGAGGCACTCCGGGGTCAGGGCACTCGTTACGACCAAACGCTGATGAGAGAGCAAGTGACAAATGGTGCTGTAACTGAGGAAGGAACAGGAAGACTGTCTGGAAACCAAGCAAAACAATATGACAACCCACAAGATCCACTTTAGACACATTTTATTCCTTTGTTATCAAAAATTAAGGCGGCAAAGTACAATCATTTCTACATAACATAAGGTAATGCATATAAACACAAAAACCCTGCACAGAAAAACATGGACGGACTTACACAGGCATCAAACCCTTGAAGCTTTTCCGGCGAAGTTTTACCCTCTCAGCATCCATACATCAGATCCTGAATCCTAGACAAGTTCTATCCAGCAACCTGGCTTCCCACAAATCTTTCCCCACATCTTCCTTACTTATTTTTCAATGATTTATTATGGTTATTGATTTTAGTAGACCTCTATCTCTTATGCAGTTTCAAGGCTCCACTTTTTGTCTGTTTCACATCAAATCTCTGTAAAAACTCTGGCGCCTGAAGGGAGTAACACCAAGTGATCTCCATGTGATCTGCTCTCACTCGATATTACTGTATTTTGAACAAGTGAAATCAAGCTGGACAAGTTGACTTTTGTTCTTTTTTTTTTTTTTTTTGAGTTGGTTTTGTTTTTTTATACAAACAAAGTGGTTGTGGACAAAATTGATTTTCTAGCATCAAAACTCATACTAAAAATTCAACATTACGTGCCATAGCTGGATGGACTGGATGGATTGATATATGGATGTGGTGGGTGGATATATAAGCTGCACTGTAAGCAGTTTGTTAAGCCCTTCTTTTTCTTTTGCATTATTCAATACTCCAAAGCAATACATATACCTTAGAAAAATATGCACACATGTTTTGTTGCATATTTTTTCTATAAACTGTCAAATGCTGAACAACGCATCAATCATGCTTTGTAAATAACTCAAATGCTCTGCTTATCAGGTGTGCAAGCTACACATTGGCAGAGGAATGGCTGCAGGGTCGTAACAAGCAAAGGCTGCAATTTTTAAAGTAACGTATTATTAAATTTATGTCTACATATATTTTACCATTCATGTTTATTACGCAAGGTTTTCTTTTTAAGTTCACCAGTCCATATTTCAGTCAACCATCAAATGTGCAGATAGAAAAAACCCATCCCTAATGGTTTTTTTTTTACATCTTGATATGACTCTGATGTGAATGATTTCCTGGTTCATGGAAACTAGTTTAAGACACTTAAGTTTGGGTTCAATCATTACAGTTGCCAATGAGGTTAATCATTTTGTATCTTACCACATTTTCATGAAATAATAAACAGTGTAACATCCTCTGAAAGTTTAAAAAAAGAGCCCAGTGTGTAAATACAGGCCTATCATCCATGTACTTGTTGTGTCAGCAGTATCAGTGACTGATACAATGCAATCCTTGTTAGCTTAATGTCATTGGCTTCAAATAGAAGAAGGAAAAAGTATCAGCCGCTTTGTAAGAGACCTCTGTGTCATCATACTCGGAACTCTCTTAAACAACACATTATTCATCACTAAACTATGTTCCGTTAAAAACATCTCAAGAATGTGTTCGATGATGAGACTGTAGATTAGTAATGTATCACTTTTATGCAGTACTTTTTCACTCAAAGATGCTTCACATTATTTATTAGTTCTGCACACGGTGGAGATAAACTACTGCGGAGGACTGACTATTGTGAGGCTCCTAATCTGTACCATTGGCATTAATTTATTTGTTTGGGGAAAAAAAAAACACACACACACACACACACACACACACACTACCTCATACGGCTTATACTAGGCAATGTGTGTGTAGGCAATGTGTGTGTTGCCTACGGACAAAAAACTTGTTTGGCCCTTATATTCACAGCTGCCCGTCTGTAGCACCTGGTCTTTCAAGAGGTCTATCATCACAGTCCTAACCAGGTCCTGCCCTGCTTAGCTTCTGAGATCTAACATGATCAGGTTTTCAGATGCAGGTTTGTCCAGATTGCTCTAAAATCAATCCAGCAGCTGCAGCTCATAAAAGAGCTGTGGCCCGTGTTCTGACGGGGACGAGGAAAAGAGCTCATATTACGATCCAGTTTATTTGCCATTTGCAGTATAAAACCACATTGGAATATTTGAAAGTCCAACGAGGAATTACACCGATACGATCTTCATTGGCTCCAGATCCAGACACGAACTGACTTTAATATCCCCATGTTCATTTAAAAAGCCATTCACAATCTGGCACCTCTATATTTCTGGTTTCTTGTACTTTATGAGCCTGTGCGTTCTCAGTTCCTCGGGCCACGACCTCCGAGCAGATCCCCAAGTACTTCTGAAAGTTGGAGAATCAGGCTTCCCTTATTATGCTCCCTGTAAATGGAACGCTCTACCCAATGACGAGTGTGCTCTGTCATTGGGTGTATTTAACTCATTGTGTCCCATTGACGCACAAATACGTCAAAGCAAATAGTAACGTCGTGTGCCATTGACGCATTAATCCGTCAATTGCCTTTTTCGCTATTTTCACGTTCCCAGATGTCTATTGTATCTAATATGTATGGGGATGACTTGAGACCATATTTTATCGAGCCAGCAGGTGGCAGCATTGCTCTCTGAATGGTTTGAAAACATGTAGGTGCACATGTTATGCCTCTTTTTTCTCAGCTTTCTGGTGATTTCTGGTGATTTCAGTAAAACTTCCCTCTACTCAACAAAGGATTACAGGGGAACGAAAAAAGCTATAAACAAAATTCTTTTTGCTGAGGAAAGTAGACAGTCCATTCTTTTAGAATCTGGTGTCGGATTTCAGATAGTCATAGTACACAATATTCTGTGGGTCTTGAAAAATCAGTAAAAATCATCAGAAATGGCTGGCACTGTGGGAGTACCTGTTCTGAAATAGGCTGGCATTCAAAATTAAGAGGTAACTAATGACTAATGTGTTCATGCTAGTGGACTTTTAATGTTCCTACACTGGTGCAATGTCTCGCCACAGAATCTATTTGTATCTAAAGTGCTGTACAAAGGTAAAACTCAGGAAAAAACAAAAGAGCATTTATTTCTGTAAGAGGAATAATATCTATGTCGCCTTTTCATCTGAAAAAAGTTGATTTAAGTCTTTTTATTAGTATTTTCTTATTTCTACACATACAGATTTTAAGGACAGTAAAGTCTAAATGTTACTACCATTGGTCTCCTATCCTGACTTCTGACCCATTCTCTGGACCCATTACTTCTAATAAGCGTTTTTAGCGTCCAAAAAAGCGATATAAAAGTACGGTGTATTATTATTAATGAAGAAAAAAATCAACCCCTTCTGCCCCCTAGAAGGGGGAGAATTAGAATGAGGAAAAAGACAAATGAGGGAGTAAATAGAAAAAAAAATATTGGTAAAACAATATGATAAAAATGAATCAAAAGGTAGAATAGGAAAAGGGGAGAGTGTATCTGCATAAAGAATATCATCTTAAAAGTGATGGTTGGTTTTCTCTCTGTTCATCCATGAGCTCACTGCTGTGGGAAAATGTATCCTCCATGTATTTTAAGAATGGGTTCTATGTACTGTTGAACCGTTTGTGAGATCCCAAGATTGAGGACCTTATTTTTTCAAGTTGTCTACATTGTAAATCTTGCAGCCAACTATTGGTTGTTGGGGGTGTTTTATGTTTCCATTTAAGACGAATTTGGAGTCCGGCCAACGGAGTAGTAAAGGCAATGGCACACTTTATAGTTAGAGGCACATTCAAAGGTGTAGGAAGACCAAACAGAGCAGTTATTGGATTGACGGGTATTGCGATTTTATAAATTTTGGGCAATATTGAAACAATAGTTAAGATAAAGCCGCAGATCACAAACATAAGTCTGTGATCTGCGGGCGACTTTTTACTCCTAGGACAAGCGTTCGACATATCTGGATGTCTTTGTGCAAGTTTTGCATTTGTAAGATGTGCTCACGTTTGCATCAAGGCGTGTCTTGCACAGATAGATGAGGTGTCCATCCGTCCATCCATTTTCTTCCCCTTTATCCCTTTCTGGGTCGGTGGCAGTCAGAGCTGCGGTACACTCAGCACCAGCCCCTCACTGATCCTCCTGCAGGTGGTGGGTCCACAGGAGCCTTGATCTTTCAGTAGGGGCTTTAGGCAAAGGCGACCTTCAGGCTCAAAGGTCAATGCTCTACCAACTGAGCTACTGTTGCCCCTGCCACAGTGCTAGATGAGGTGTTTTTTTATTTATTTATTTCCACCCATTGTCTTTGAGATATTTCTAGAGCAAGGTTGCTTTCAAATTTGTTCTTAAAAACTATTGATGGGTCTGGAATCGTAGAATTAATCTTAATATAAATAAGACAGGTCAAATGTTTTTCAGACCATTGCTGGTTGACTTGTTGATCAATGTCAGTTTCTGGGGGGCGGCGGATAGGGTAATGAGGCAGTTGTTTTCTATTTAAATTTCAGATTTGTAAACACTGAAACAAGTGCTTGGACGGCAACCTAAACTTTGTGCGTAATGTCTGAATGCAGGCAAAGGCGTCTTCTTTATACAGAGCCTTTAAATATTAAAGGCCATTTGCCGTCCGCTTTGCAAAAGCCTTGTGTGAACCAGGTTGGAATAAATGGTTATTATACATTGGAGCATGGAGAAAGGCTGCCAATAAGCCAAACTGATGTCTAAATTGAGTCCAGATCTTAAGTCTATTTGTTATCACGGAGTTGTAAGAAATGTCAAAGTTTAATTGAACTATTTGAGCAAGATATTGAGTGTATGGAGAAGGAGAATGATCCAGTGTCAGCCTGGAGCCATGGGAGCCTAGGGTCCAAAGGTTTATAGCTTGTTCAATATAGGATTTTATGAATATTTGTCTAGTATGAGAAGTATAGTAAGCTTATACACTGACACCAAATTGAGAAAGGATTGATACAATAGGGGCGACAGTAGCTCAGTTGGTAGATTATTGGCCTTCAGGCCTGAAGGTTGTGGGTTCATTTCCCACCTCTACACCTTCTCCACCGACTCCCACTGATGACTGCTGTCGTTGTGTCCTTGGGCAAGACACTTAACCCCACTTTGCCCAAAAGCCCCCACTGAAAGATCAAGGCTATGCTCACACTCAGAGCAGCCGTCCTCCTGTGGACTCACCACCTGCAGAGGGTCAGTGAGGGACTGGTGCTATGAGACTTGGGTGGCATCTCTGATTGCCACCCCCCTGACCCAGAAATGGATTAAAGGGTAGAAAATGGATGGATGGATGGATGATACAATAGGTTCATCTCAGGGCTTGACACATACAGTAAAAGATTTCAATTCATCTGAAAAAGCAGATACAATTTTTCAAAAACATTGTATATGAATAATGAGGTACAAAATGTTTGAAGAGAAAAATGTGTTAGATGGTTGTAAATGCGTAGTCTCCTCAATTTGAAAATCAAGCCCCCAGCTTTAAGACCTTGAATTCAACTCCATTAGTGGACTAAATGTCATTGAGGGAAACTAATGTCTTAATTGACTCGGGCTCAAGAGTAATACCACGCTTCTCCAACCACCTAAACCTTGCCTTCTTGTCCACTCCTCTATCACCCAGAAGGTATTTATTCTATCTGACTGTTTGCCTCAGCGTCCTGGTCCATGCCGTTTCCCAGCCATACTTACTGCTGTAGGTGATGTTGAACCCTCTGCCTGACATGGAGTGGTCGGCCTGGAACTCCAGCTGCAACACGTTACTGTTGGACGTGAGGTGGGACGGCACTTCGGCCCCAGAGAAGCGTCCCAACATGGTGGCCCCGCTCTGGTCTCCATCTTTGATCGTGAGGAAGTCGTAGGGAGGCTCCAAGTCAAAGTCGTTGAAAGCCAGGTGTATTCTGGACCCTGGCTCCGAGATGATCAGCCACACACAGTTCAGGTTATTCCCATAGCCTTCTGGGTAATCCGGAGACAGCACTGTGCCCATGGGAGCGGTGAAGTTGGAGAAACAAGGGACTGCAGGGCAAGGGATTAACACAACATATTATTATTGATTCAATGCAGGCACAGGGAGTTTATAGAGGGTATAAACTGAGAAACAGTGGTCCCATGATGAGATTCTGCCATAATAACAACAAGAGCAAAAATCATAAAACTGTGCTGATACGGAATAATGCTTTTCAGCAGTGAGGACAGTGCTGAATCTGGTCCCTGCGGGGCTGTGAAGTTGCAGAAGCCGACTGTAAGCGGAGCAATGTGAGCAATGTGAGCAATGAGGTAATGTATGAGCAGTTTTGTATATAAAAACATCTACCTGTACTGACGTCTAATCTGTACTGACAAATTCTTCTCCTCAGAGATATGTCTGTTACATTTCTAATAATTTCGACTAAACGCTATGATTTTTTCTTTTTTTTTCTTTTCATGAAACGCTTATATGTTTGTGCATTTACAGTTTGTGCTGTTGATTTGGGATACAAGGTACATTTTTGTTATTCAAAGTGACAATGGGAATTCATACTATATTCGTTGCTGGATATAGTGAAGTAAGTATCAGCCTGTCCTAACAATCCCTATGCCACCACCAGAGGGAGGGGTAGAATTCTAAAAATGGCCGGCTGCAAAGGCTGCCATGTGATTGTAAAGAACGTCATATCACTTACGAAAATACCAAAACTAATTTTGAGGCAAAACCTTTTTGGAAAATTGCAATGACCGAAGGGGCAGAGGGACATGTTTGTGCCAGAAGTTCCTCGGTTGTTGCAAAATAGACCGGTGTGTACACCAGATGCCAAGAATACTGATAAGTCGCATTCATGTGATGTCACAATGTTTGACATCTTCTTTGTCAGTACATATCAACTGTGGTCTAAGTGTTTTCTCATCAATCTAATCACAATAATTATTTTTTAAAGGATATTCCCATTGAGGCACCTTCCCTTCAACTGAAAAACTTTTTCCTGTTACAGTATAATATTCATTCATATATGTTATAAAACTATTATCTATCTGGATTGGAAGTGGTGAGTGTATGTTTTGGTTTTGTGATTTTGGGCTTGATAAAAGAAATATTGGAACGTGATTATTTTATAATGACTACTATAATTACTTTTCACATTTCCTGGCACCACATTGAACTTTACTATTACCAGATAAATATTACACCAAGTACTCACATATGCAAATTGGAATATTAGCCGACCACTGATTGTTGTTCTGGCACGTTATGGTCCTCTCTCCAATGAGCTCAAATCCAAATTGACATTCAAAACGCAAAACATCCCCATTTAAAAAGCCGCTGCCTTCCTGGTAGCCGTAGAGAGGTGTTCCCGGGTCACCACAACTTTCTTTGTCAATTTCTGAAAGAAGAGTGAAGAAAAAAAAATTATGAATAAATGCCTATGCATTGCCCAAAACAAGTTATCTATAAAAGTCCAGGTATAGGCAGTGGTTGGTGGTGGTTAAAATGTTTGGAGGAATCAGAATAAGCAGAGTACTTTCAGGATAGAGCCAGACATGAGCAGAGACAGTTAAAGATACTATCACTAACCTTTGTAGTTGATCTTGAAGCCAATGGATCCCACACTCTCATCAGACTGCAGGTGGAGCCACATCTGATGGGACATGCTCACGATCAGGTCTGGGACGAAACTGCCCGTCAGCCTGTTCGGTAAAGGACAAAGAGGTTAATGGAAGAGCTAGCAACAAACATATACAGCATGTCAACACACACAACGAGAAACTCACACTTGAATAATCGTTTTGGAGTTGCCCACTTCTCCACCATCGCCGATGGTAAGCGAATCATATCCAATCTCCAAATCAAACTCCTCGAAGTTGATCTGAATAACCTGTATTTGATTAAATATTACAAACATGTTATTTCTGTTCGCAAAAAGTCCTCTGGCTACAACATTGGTGGGGGTTGAGAGCGGCCTCTGCCTGAGGTCACTACAGCGAGTCCAAGTGCAAGTGTGTGGACATTTTTCTGCATAGTCTATTTTTGCCGGACTCTCATTTAACTGGTTTTCTTGCCTTGACCTCGGTGAACACATGGATTTTGGCAAAACTGTAGTTAATCAGAGAAACACACAAAGCCGCCATTAACGAGATCTAAATAAATTGCGCTCCGGGATGAGAGTCAGAGGACAGAGGGCGAGAGCGTTATCTGCAGCAGTTCCTGTGAATAACTGTGTTGATCTGTTCTGTAAAGTTTTATTGGATGACATGAGTAAGTTGAAGATAAAATAACTATAGCTAACCTTATGCCAAAGACACCCACAGAGTTTTTTAAATATTCAGTAAAATCCCTGTACGCTAATCAAGAAGCAGCCAGATGATCAAAAGGCTTTCTCCCTATTATTTCAAAAAAGTACATTGTCTAATGCATAGTATATTGGAGCTCGTTTCCTTCCAGGACTTTGAGATAGTGTGCCGCTGTAGGAGTACAAGCACTATAAAGAGAATGGCCCATATGTACGTATTCACAATGTAGACAGTTGCCTGTTTGATCAAATGACATTGTAAAAAAAACATAGCTTCCTTCTCATTATAAATTACAGAGAAAGGGGAAGAAGACGTTCAAACACTTTTTATACAGTAATCGACGGAATAAAACCCACATATAAAGATGTTCTTGCGCTACAAATAATAGCAATCACTGCTTCACTATAATAAGTGATTAAACCTAATGGCCCTAATGTTACATTTGTGTCTCTAAGGGCCTCATTTATCAATCCTGGTGCTAAAATGCAGGAGAAAAATAAAATAGCATAAATGGCTATTGTCTTGGCTTAGTTCTATAGGTGAATGATAAATGAGTTGGCTCTAATTTTAAAGGGTGTAAACACTTGCTATATGAGCCCCTAGTGTCAGAGCCAGTTAAGTGTGTTTGTTTGGCACATGGCCTGGGTTTGCATTTTTTAATAAGCAGTATTTTTAACTCAAGTGTTGACGGCTAATGACAGTTTTCATGATAAAGGACGTCATTCTTACTATAAGTTTTCACCTCTGCGGTTATACAGCAGCCCAACAGAAGGTGACTGCATTCTACTTGAACTATGTAAATGAGATAATAAGACAATAGTGATTAGCATGCAGATGGGTGCGGAGTGTAACCTCCAGACCTCTGTAACCTGCTGTAAAGACGCATTGTTATTGTGCAGTAAAACAATTATGCATGCAGAAAATTGATCCAGTGTGAGCTATAAATACATGAGAAACCCCTCGAACTGAGTCCTGGTGAAGGCGCTCAGCATCGCTCACATTCCTGTGACACTTATTTCCACCCTGCATCCTTTTGAGATTACGCTTTGTTCAATAAACATGTGGAGATATATTCAAACCCACTTTATTGCACACATTCACCTTGTTTGGGTCACTGGCAGTGATGATCCACACACACTGAGAGTTACTCTCGTACTGGATCGGGAAGTTTGGTGAAGTGAACGTCCCTGAAGGTCCTTGAAGATTTGAGCCACAGGTTTTCACTGCATAAAATAAATAAGTAAAACAAATTCAAAACTTAATGAAAATGTGTAACTGGTAAGTTCATGAAAGATTGTAATGGGAATGTTCCGTATGCAAACTAAAATATAACAAATAGTGATTGGAATGTGCCCAACAGTGTTCTGCATTATGCAATGTCAGAAAAGTAATTTATATTGTTTGAGAAGAAGAAAGGGTATTTTAGCCGTACCCCCATTAATCAAAATGTAAAAGGTGCTTCAGGTGTTTTGAAAAAGGAAAAACAGCCGGAGCATTTTGGAATGAGAAAGTAGGGAGTAGCGGCAGAGGCTTTCATACATAATTAACAGAAATGAACTTTCTTCTATCTGCATAGCGCCTCTATCCACAGGCGCTGCTTAATGAAAGGCTTTATTAGGGGCTGGTGGCCGCTCACCCTTGCACACGGGCCTGTGGTCGCTCCAGGCGGCGAACACCTCCGCCACTCTCTGACATATGATGGTTTTGGAGCCTTGCAGGACATGGTCCTCGTCACATGTAAACTGTGCCATCGCCCCAATGCTGACGGGATAATGAACACAATCAATGAGTGACAACTGCTACAAGCTCAATACATTAATAACAATCTGTATTAAAACTGTAATTATCCTTTCCATTTTGCATGAACTATCCATTAGTTTGTCATTACCTGAAGTCAGAGCCAATTCGTTTGCCATTCTCAGGCTCGCCAGGATCAGGACAATAATTTGACACTTGCTTTACGCCGCCTTCATTCACTGCAAATTCATAAGAGAAACCATTATATAAAAAGACAAAAATGTAAATGCGATAAAGTAATAAATCTTGCCAAACAGTAAGTAACACAGCTGTGATAGATGTGCCACTGTGACAGGTCATAAGACAACTTAGCAAAGTTTCTGCTGCTAAGAAAACTGTCTGTCCCGGCACGTTTCCTACATGGTCGTATCATTAACACACCCTCACAAATATATGACTTAATATCATATCTGGCTCCCTGTCACATTGAGGATTGAATTTGAGATTGTGGTGCTATTTCTAATGTCTTAGCCCCTGTATGTGTGAACAAACTGATCTCTTGGTATGTTCCTGTCAGATCAATGAGGTCAGCAAAAACAGCTTTTGTTGAACATGCCCAGCTCTCATCTCAAAAGTCAAGGAGACCGGACCTTTGCTGCTGCTGCTGCGCCCAGACCTTTGTACATTGAGACTTTCAAATCTACCCTAAAAACACATTTGTATGCCTTGGCTTTCGTCACTGAATTCGTTGTTTTGTGTTTTACATTGATTTATGTATTTCATGCTATAATTCTATCCTCTTTTTTTATAATGTTTGTGTATGTGAAGCCCTATGGAAGCTGGTGTTGTGCTAAATGTGTTACATAGTTGACGTATGAGTGCAAAAACATAATCACATTGGCAAACAATAGCACGTATTGTGAACTACTCCTGCAAAGGTAATAATAAAAGGATGAAAAGAGTGTTCAGTCCCATGTGTACTTTTTGTCTGTGTTATTCTATGTTATTATGTTATTCTTTAGCTGTAAACACAAAGTTAAAAAAAAATATATGTCTGTGAGGTTCTCAAAAGGACAGTAACCCCACAATTCATCAAAATACATTATACAGACATCTGCATTTACTTCAAGATAAAACTTACTTAAAGATAGTTTGTTGGTGTTGTCCTTTCCTGGCAACACTTTCACACCTCTGGATTTAAGCTCTCCAGAACTCTTCACTGAAAACAGAAAATGGTTGGTAAAAAGTGGGCAGAGGCATTTGTGTTTCTTTCTCTAGATTCATTTTTCATACTATAAATAATGAATGAACATCACTTGCAGCCAATCGTCGACTGTTGCGTCATATATTGTTTCAATTTCTCTGGAATTGATATTTTATTATGGTACAAATTTAACTCTATAGTATACTAAATGTGAATGAAGTATTAACGCTGATGTTATACAGGGAATACAATTATCGCAAGGTCAGTTGAATAACTAATCACACACATCAGGGGTGCCGACTTCACAAAGTGACGCAACACACTGTCAGTGGGATAACAACAGCTAATTCCAATAAATCATGCACAGAATATCAAAACAGTCTTTGAACTTCTGTTATTCACATTTCTACAATAAGGTTGCACTGGGACCAAACACAAACGCAGGCAGCTGACCAGAGAACAAATGAAAGGCTAAACTTGCAATTGATATGCATTTTAATGGAAATTTTGATTAATTTCTCAAACATTTGATAAGCAAAAATCTTTGAAGTCGGTGATCCGCAGCCTTCACTTGACAAGGGGCATTAGTAAACTATGAATATTCACTCGAGTCATGAATATCAAGATCAAAACACGTTGATAACTACAGCTGGTTTTACTTGAGTGGGTACATTTCTTATATAAGGGCTGCTGTTACTTGAAACAATCTCAAAGGCACGATCACTAATGTAGTCCTACCTTGATACTGAGCCCTAAAGCCTTTGTGGCGGTGGTTGCTCTCTGTCACAAAATGCAGCCGCAGCCAGTTTTTGTTGCTAATGATCGGTGCTGGAATATTCATCCCCGTTAGCCTGAGAGAGAACAGACAACACAGGTTTTAGCCAATGATAATTAAATCATGCATCACAGGAAAAAATAAATTAAAAAAAACCTTGAATGAACCTTGACCTTGGCTACAAACTACTATTCCCCCTTTTGACATGAATATAAATTGTGAATTAACATCAGACATCATAGACTGTGTAACGAGACAGTGTAATCTCTCATTCACGCAGGAGTGAGTCAGAATAACGTAGCCGTATTGATTTGTTTTTCATATTTCGACTCCCATCTCGTGGAAATGTCTGAAAAGAAATGGTGTTAGAAGTGAAATCATGTGTTCTGAGATTGTGGTACTTCCTTGGGAGGGATGAGTAATGTGGAAAGTTTGCACCTTCCATACCCTTTCTTATCCTGCCAGAGTACTTACTTAGAGTATTTTCCCCTGACACTGTCTCTGCTCACATCCAATGGATTCTATGTTCTGATCTGAGGCGGAAACTGTCCTCTTGCAGTCAGTAATGCATTTGGAGAGTAAAAAAAGCCCATGTCCAAAAAGCCATGTCATGGTGTTATCTTGTTTCCTTATGTATGTCTTTTACACCAGTGAATTTGTGTTAGGATTGGTGTAGAGATTTCATTGACTCCAGCGCAGCCAGGGAGGCAGACCTACATAATGACAGAAATGAGAAATGAGAAAAAGGAAAAAGTGTGCGTCTCCTCTCACTAGTAGTTGCTTGGGAGATAAGATAAGATTGAAGGCACCTCTTGCGGTAAATTATTTAGCACATTGGAGCTTTGGTTGAATTTATGATCTGTATTTTTGGCAGAATGGTTGCAATGTATTTTGTAGATGAAGATGTGCATCACCGTGGCTCCAACTTTTAGCAACAGTATAGTTATATCCATTCAGAAGAAGCATGAATGCCCCAGGCAGCAGCCATGTGATGTTATAAATAGAAGACAACTGAAGATAAATACACTGGATCCACAACCGCTGAGATCTGTGGGGCAAAGTAAGTAAAGCACGACCCATTGTCAGCTGTAAATAACCTGCACGAGCGCTACAGCATTAATGATGACTACGCTTCAGACGCATGTGGTGTAGGTTAACAGAACGCCTGGCAGCCAAACCAGTGCAGTCTATACAATGCCACATGGTACAAAAGAAAACAGTATCACATTGTCTCTAAAGAGATTATTAATGTGTGGAGCTCTGATGAAAATGGAAAACAAAAATGGAAATATTTCAACTGCAAATGTAGTGAATAAGTTGCTCAAAAAACAAACATTTCTCTCAAACATTATATGTGTAACTTTATAAAAATGGTGTGAGAAGTCAACTAAATAAAGTGTATATAATTTGATTTGACTTGCCGAACTTTTAGCATGAAAAATATTGACATATGTTGAAGGGGCTTGGGTCTGCAGCTGTCAGTCTTGGTTAGGCTGCTCAAAAGCTCAAGGGTAAATAGACAGTTTTTTGTCAGTGCAACAGCAGCTGTATATGTTAGGACAGAACACCAGAAAGTTTAGCAGACCAATGGCCTTGTGCACTGTCTGAAACACTCATAAAAGAACAAGCGAGAGCAATGAAATTTATGAGCGAGGAGCGCTCTGAATTCAGTTTGTCTGCTTGTCTCTCTGTTTACCTGTTCAGAAGCCATTACTCCATTAAATGTATCCCCCTGCGCCCAGCTCAATGCCAGACTTTACACCAAAAAAGAGATATCTGACTGACGAAGCCTGGTATTGGATCACACAAAGTAGCATTGAAACGTTAAAGAACTTAGATAAAGGATTTGAAAACATGTATAACAGTGAGTTTTTTCATTATCAATAGCACAAAAGTATGTTATAGAAATAGATTTCATCGTGACTTCCAGAGTAACCTTCTCAGACAATACACCAAAAAACATATATACTCAAATGAGGAAGGATAAAAATGCCTTTCATCCACCACGAATGAGTAGATATAAAACATTTGGCCAATTGCTCATTTAGATTGTGTCCGTAAAATATATTCCACTCATACGCCTATTTGCAATAGATTTTACACAAATCCACCATGAGCCGTTTGTCTGAGTGTTTATTATGTCAACTATGTTAATGTTTCCTTATCCTTATGGTAATTTGGATATTTCCCAGTTGGAAATTACAAACCCACTTCAGAGCATTCCAGCAAATATGGAGGACCAAAACTGTCAAAATTATAAATAAATGAATAAATAAATAAATGTCACATTCTGCCAATAATTATTAAGATAACACAACAAATCATGCGATTTAATAAATACATATTATTATACAACGTTTTTTGGTTTCAAACTAAATAATACATCTTTATTATTTTTCTGTTCGTTCAAAGGTCAAGATTAAAATAAATATATTTTTATAATTTAACTGCCGTTTTGTGCCCAAAGAGATAATAAAATCTCATTTTTTTCTTTCCCCATGTATTTATTTTCTTCATCTTTTTTTTAAAATTGATGTTCTGTTTTATTATTTCACGACACATTCTTTCCTCGTGTCTTGATAATAAAATGCAAATGAAGGGGGCGGGCCACAGACAGCAAGACGAAAGCAATCGCCTCTTGCAGACTGACCAGGCCAAACCGTGCTAAACAGTGCTGCCATTATAGCAGTGCCATCTAGCTGCGTGAAGCTGTTTGTCCCGTGGCTGTCATGGAATTGTCTTTTATAATGCCTGGAAGAGCGTGTTGTGTGTTCGGCTGTGCAAGCCTGCAACAGAACCGTGTGTGAACTTCTTAAACCTTTACAACATACTGACCATACTGACTTCCCCCATACGGATTGCAGAAAGCTCCTGGTCCAGCTCAGGAACAAGATGTGTGTCTGAAGTGGATGAAAAATATAAACCTAGATGGCTTTAAGCCAAACAAGAAAGCAGTGGTAAGTTTAGCTTTGATTATTACATCTGAGAAAACCACTGGTTGCTGTCTATAAATGACATGAGTGTAAAAAGTAACT